AAAAAAAAAAAAAAGGAGGAAAAAAAAACAAATCCTTTTCTCTTCATTTCTTTCTCGCGGTTTCAATGTCGCTTAAAAACGAATTCATCAATTGTAACAATAAATCCGCTAAACTCTTTTCTCGTTTATTTTTTTCTACTTTTTTTTTTTCGTTTTTAATAATAACAGCTGTTTAAAAAATATTCTGAGCAGAAAATATGGTTGTTTCAAAAAGTGTCAATTAATATTTATTTTATCAAATAGAAAAAAAAAGCAAATTTTATTGTTGTCGTTGGTACTGCTTCTGAAATTAACACAGTTTCAAAAAATAGTATTTAAATTAATGAAGAAAAAAAAATTAATTGCAAAAGTGGCATAAAATGAGAGAAAAAAAAAGAATTTTTTAAGGTTTGTTGGACAGTGACCAACCAACAGAACACTGGTAAGCAGATGGCTGCAAAATCTATTGGTAAACTATTGGTCTACCGTAATACAACAATCCTCTGGCAAATTTTCAGCAATACAGTATGCAGTCAGTTTTTTTTTCTTTTTTTTGCTTTTATACAGTGATATAAAAAATTTAGAATTTACTGTTTTCAAACACTGTTATCCATGTATAAAAAATGAATCTAAGTCAATTTTTTTCTCCTTGACTTCTCCTTGTTTATTTACTCATCGAAGTGGCTAAGCCGTATAGAATAGGAGAAAAAGTTGTGAAAGAGGGAATCTATTACAGTGAGTGCTACATGGAACATTAAAAAAAATTAACAAATATCTGAACTAAAAAAAGCAATAAAAATTTTTGTATTGCAGCACAACGGCAACCAAAATGGCAGCACCAAAAAAATTTTGTTGGCTAATTATTGTCTCTGAACAACGTTTTGCAAAATTTAATTTTTTTTTCTGCAAAAATGAACACAAATGATAACTCATTTTATTTTTTTGAAGTTGTAAAAGTAAAAAAATAAATTTTTTTTTTTTAAATTAGGAAAAAAAATCAAACTTTTGAGCAGTTTTCTACATTACTTTTTTTTTGTCTGCAATTTTTTTTCATTTGTTTTTGCAATAAAGTCGGTCCGAATAAAAGTTATACTCTTCAATTGCATCCACCCAACTTGGGGTTCCCAAAAACCCTTTTTCAACTCGTCAACAAACCACTGTTTCGGGTGGAAAACATTTATTTTTTCGCTTTTATTGGTTTGTTTGTATGTATGCATAATTGTATGGTATTTTACTGACAAAAGAAAGAAAAAACTATCAGAA